TTATAAGCTTAATTTTTGTTTTACTGACGTAATCCTATTTTTTATTAATTATTTCCTGGAATGGACTTTTTCGTGATGATAACAGCATTTTTAAATGAGGAAGTCAAATTCATTAAGAAGTTTATTTAGAAGGTTTTGAAGAAATTTTGAAGTGCAAAAGAATTTTGGCTAAAATTTTTGAGGCATATTAGAAATTTAACGGACTTTTCTCAAGAAAGATTAAATTTCTTTTAGATCAAAAAAAACCTTTCCTCGATTATTTCAATGTTTAATGTTATCATCAAAATTAAAAAAAAAAACTTAATCATTTATCATTCCCATTTCGATTGTTGATACCAAATATTTTATGCATTCGCCTACGTTACTTACTAAAATTTCCATTATTTTTTTCTTTTCGTCATTATTTGAAGATTCATCTCATCAAAGTTCCCTCAAATTTTTTGAATGAGAATGGCCCACATTAAACGATTTTTTAATTGGCTACTTTTTGAAAAAAAAGATGACTGAAAGCTGAAAAACTGAAGCTGAATGAAAAATTATGAGTTTTGATTACGGTGTTACCTAATGCCTATAGAATTTCTTTCTTAATTTACTAAAGATTTTTCTGATTTTACAAATCGAATAGTTGAGTTAAGCAAAATGTCGGCATGATAAAGAGGATATGAGTGGCGGACTTTGAGAATCTCTGGACAATCGAAAACTAAAGGTGATATGCGAAGGATAGTTTGTGCAGCATAGCTCTAGCGCCTGTCGTTCATTATCCTCTGCTCATCCTGCGATATTATTGATAATTCTTCCAATCGACCAACTAATCAACCAATATATACAAACTTCGTGCGTAATGTTCTCTTCAAAATTCTCATTATTCATTTCCACTTTTTTTTCATTCTAATTTAATTTAATTTAACTTCATTTATTATTATAGAAGACCCTTTTGAATTTCCAAAAAAAAACTCTGTTATCATCATTGGTTGATGATCACTCTTTTATTACTAATTATTAATACTAATTATTATTAATACCGGGAAATCTTATAAGTTATACATTTGAATATAAAATTGGATTAGAGAAACAGAGATCCTCCCACTTACAAATAAATATCTATATCTATAAGTAAATCTCTTCATAGATGCATCGTATCAATAAACAAATAAGTTCCACTGCACTGACCAATGTTTTATTGGCGTATTGAATTCAGGATTATTAATTTTAACCTTAAATTTTAACATCTTCATCTGCCTTTTCTTTGAGTTCTCATCAATTAATCAAAATTAATTCTCATCAATTTTTACTCGGAACATATCGAAAATTGTAAGTTCTGAAGACTGAAATAATTTTGAGAAGTTATGAGGTTATAAAGTTGAAATTTAGGAAGAAAAAAATTTACTTCGAAACATGTTGAACTGATTTCGTTCCCTTGTTGACTCTTGGTTTTAGAGCATTAATCAATGTGTTATAATATGGTGTTCACTCCACAAAGACCACAACCAATTGAATTTTCGGCAATTTTTTCTCTTATGTAAAAATTATTACCAAAGCTAAATTTCATTATCGTAATCCGTACCTATTTCTAACATTATTATTGGTTAGGCTGTTCCCATTAGCTTTACGAATCAGGTCATTCAAGTCGTCTGATGCTATGCTTCGAAGTAACAAGAGTCAGTCCTTTTTCCCATCGAATGGATAAATGCAAGCAAATAATATAATAATGATTAGTTCCGACTTATGTATGCTAGATAAGTACTTCTTATAAAATGTTACTGCAAAAAAAAATTTTGCTAAAATCATTATGGCGTAGTAGAAAGCTTATACTCAGAAATTTCAGTGGAGAATTTCCAGCTATTTGCTGTTTATTAGATATTTAATGCCAGATTTGGTTGAATACTAAATAGTGGGAATTTAGTAATAACGCGACTCTTTCTGTTGTAAATCATTTTTAGAAATAATTTTTGGTAATGACAATTATGACGATTGAACAATTTGTATATGACAATTCTTTGGCCATTTCTTTAACTTAACTTTAAATTTAACTTGTTTTGAATTTGGTCCAAAATTCTTGCATCAAAAAGGTTTTATTGGGTAAAATTATAAGATTCTCTGATGACTAATAACTATCATGACTTGTTCCATTTTGTCACTATTTACTATTTATTTACGATCTAAGTTACTTTTTTCATTTTCTTATTAATAATATTGAGCGAAAGCATTTTGATCCTTTCTTCATTAAAAAAAATGGCCAAACATATTTAACTAATGCGACAAACCAGAGGAGTGAGTCTAACGAGTAATAGTAAGACTTCTTTAAAAAAGAAATAAAAATCTTAATGTATTACCCTTATTTCCCAAATAATAATGCTATTCTTTATTTCTGTAGAGTGCTAATTAATTTAGTAGATTTTGTTAATCTGGAAAAATAACATATAACATATAGTGCTATAATCTAAATGGCACCATTACGGTAGCTTTTAAATCACAAATAACTGCATCAAATAGTTGAGATCATCGCTTAGTATATTAAATCATTGAATGATAGATTGGATGTGCATTGGTATATACTGATGACATTTCATTATATTACCAAAATCTAAATTTTAAAATATTATCAAAATATTTGTTTGAGCCACAGGATACTATCAGATCAAAGCAATATAGACATAACAATATAGCATTTCCAATGACTATTGGTATTATGACTCTTCTTAAGTATCAATCATATTAATTAATTTTTTAGTACTAATTCTTGTTTGGTTGCTATGCTATTTGAAGCTTTAAATATTTTGGATATTCGACTGTTGAAAATCGAAATTTATGATAGTGTTGAAAAATTTTTACGAATTAATTAACACCTTTGGCGCTATCCCTAAAGCTAGTTGGCATATTAATCAAATAATAAAGAGAGGATTAAAAAGCATATCCAATTGAATTTCAGGCAATTTCAGGATTTCAATGAAGTTATTTAAGAATATTCAGAGTAATATTTAATCACCTGCAAAAATGAATGAACGATGAAGTTGCGATTTATAGTTATACGAATTGCCAGTCGTATAAGCGAAAATGGTACTGATATTTAAATAACATACTTAATTAGTTTTAGTTTTTCACTCAAATTACAGATATTTCTAAAGATTAATTATGGAAATTACAATAAATCATTTAGGATTTCAGCTGATGCAACGAATTTTCTTAGTTTTAGATCCGCGATATATTAATCCAATGAAACCAAGCAACTGGAAATTAAAATCCTTTAACTCTTCTAATTCTTCTCAACCTATCTATTATTTTTGATAATCAAATGGGGCCTTACGAAGATCTTCCCTCAATAAGGATTTCATGATATAGAAAAAAGTAATGAAGTGTAGAAATATTTCTGATTTATATTAGTGATAGTGATAGATACAACAAGCCATAAGTAGAGTTAATATGATCGTACTTTCTTATTAAAGTTCATAATTGAAGGAAATGCAAATTTCAGTGATTGATGAAAATAAAAATGTGAACTTTTCCCCTCCAAGCAGACGTATGTCCACTCAGAACCCCTTCAAGTGATTATTGATGTCATGTGACCGACTTCATTTTTTACTTTTCTGTAAATCTTCGAGGTTTTTTGGTAGGACGTATTATCATATTGTAGTAGGTCATATTGTCTTATTTTTGATTTTCTATGTATATTACTGGTATTCTCAATAAGGTTGTGCATTCTTATGAATATATTTATATATTTTTCATATTTATTATATTATATCTATATATTTCATGAAAAATTCTACAATCATTCTTTTTTTTCATCTTCCAACAGCTCGCACCGTTGCTAGTTAAGCTGGCTCCACTTTCTACAAGGGTGAGGTGCTCTAAATTTCTTGGCCTGGTGCCAAAGGGACAGAAACCACTTTTTTTCCAACGTCCATAATCGCTACAATCTAATTTTACTGATTTTTCATTATTCCATTTTTCATTATTTATACAGATCATGGCCAAAACCTATCCTTCAGTTATTTTTCACTTATAACAAACCACATACTGAATGAAGGATCCATTCACTTGCCTTTATCGCTTCGTTATTTGTTCTTTTGCCATAATCAACCTGTTGAACTTTTTGGCAATTATGGCCTGGAATGTTTTTTTTTTCATTATTAGAATTAATACCTATAATTTTAACAAAAAAAGCAGATTCCTAATAAAGAAAATTTTTGATGAATGTGAAAGAGAGAAACATGGAACTGATCGAAGTGATCGCGAAGAATTACAACAGATCAATTTAGTATTTATTTAAAACACATCCTACTTTTTAAGAGTGAAAAGATGATGCAAAAATCTTTGTGTATTATGTATTTGTTATAGAAATTTGCTTTTTTTCTAATATCATTTTGATTATTAAGTATTATAAGTGGTTCTTCTTCTTCTAAAAGCACTTATCATTTTTGATTTGGATAGCTTCTAATGGTAAGTTCACTTCTGCGGGAATCAAACCTATATGAAGTTTCATCTCAACCGATTTGAGATGCCGCAGTTATCCTGGAATGGTCTTTAAAAAATGATTGATCATTCAATTATTTTTCTTAAGCACTAAAGCATTCAAAGGGAAATTTTCATCAAGATTGTTCACCTAATGATTTTATTGTGCTTGAGAAGATCATAGCGGCAATGTCTTGCGTCAATATTTTGCTTATTTAATGTTATATACTTTACATGCCTTTTTATAACGAAGATTAATTTGTCTCCATAAAATACCATCGTTTCAGATATTAAGCCATTTAATTATTCGCTTCTGGAAGTATTAAAACAAAGATGTGATTTTTAATCTGATAATTTTATGTAATTAATGGATAGTTACAATGACCGGGTGTTGAAATTAGGACTTTAAGAACTTTAATGAAGGAGTTTAAATTTAGAAATATCCGTGTTGCATTTAATGAAGTTTGCGTTTCTTTGTGCTATCTACGTGCAATGGCAATGAATTGCAGATGCTGCAGCACTCTTTATTAAATCTGGTTTTTTTGCATATGTTCATTGAGACAAATCTATGTGGTCCTTTAAGAATAGCCAGTAACGGGGTGGACTCAGTTGTCATTGGTGGCAATGAAAAATCACTTATAATTGATGCCTCAACTTCTTTCCGAGGTGAGCAAAAAAATTTTTTTCCTCCATTATTCTCACTTATAGTCCCTCCTTTGATTCATAAATCTCGTTGGCATTACTTTATAATGATAATATTTAGGCAGTGAAAGTGAAATTAACAATATAGATGCCAGATCTTTGTTTGAAAAAAATGAGCAAAATTAGTCTTAATTGACAATAATTTAAAGCACTCAATCCTGATTGAATGAATTGAATTGAAAGAAAAGAAAGTTATACATAGCAATAATTATAAGCTAACTTTAAAAAAATTGTAAGTGCCGACGTTAATAAGTTTTATTAAACATAACCTTAGGCTATTCAATCTTCATTTAATAAAAATTGTGATTATTGCATCGATTTCTTGGATTTCTTTTGAACTGCTGATAAGGTGAGTATTTGCAACGGATTATTTATTTAAAAGCAACGTAATTTTTGATAACAGAATAATTGAATCTTTAGTTCTTATATATTTATTAAAAATTCTGTTCAGAATAAACCAAATCTAAGGAAATTTAGTGCACTGGATTAAAGCAGTTGTCTTTGATTAAGATTGAAAAGGCAAAATACAAGATACAATTTTTGTGCGTGACAGAACAAAAATATATTTCAAATAAAAATATATTTCAATTCTCCAAGATTGAAAGTCTTGAAAAATTAATGCCTGATAAGCTTGTTGTATTGTAGCAAAGTACTGAGACAATAGTAAAGAAGAAAGTGGTTAGTGCTCACCGTCTTTGGTTAACCTAGCTCGGCTAGCTAATAGTACGGTTAGAAATTTTGGCCAGGGAACCACTTGGCGATAAAATAGGTGAGCACCCAGCACCACTCGGATTTTTTAATTGTATACTCCTATCGAAAGCAAGAGCCGAATCCTTGCCCTTCAACCAGATAATGTAAACCAATCCATCTGCAATTCTACCTATTATGATTGCAGTTGAACGACTCGATGCTCCAATAGAGCGGATTGAAATACGTCTTATGGACGACAATGCAACACAACCGGTAGTTATCGACATCCAAAAAGCAGTATCCACAACCATTGGGCCTCCTTCATTATCTAATGCCGAAGACAGGTCGAATTCCGAATCCGACTCGCATCATATTGTGGAACAACGCTTAGAAAAAAAATTTGAGACTGAAGACCGGAAAAAGTCTCAGCTTGCATCAACATTTGAACTAAAAGTAGAGCACAAGATTGAACATATCGTACCACATGTCGAAGCTCGTCGATGGGACAGTGGACAAATAGAAACCGTTGATCCATCAAATTCCCGCCAGGAATATATTGACGATTTACCACCACTCGACATTGTCGATGATGTGGTAAGTAATTCTAAGTAATTCTGATTTTACCCCTTATTAATATTCTAATACCAATCCAACTATTGTTTATCGAAGTCAAATATCATAATCACTGGCAATCACTTTATCTTGACTTGATCAGTCCGGGAAATTGGTTGTATTTTTATAACCGAGTTCGCACCATAATAAAAACCTATTATGCATTAACACTTTGCAACACCACTTTAATGAATCGTCAGCTAAGTAATGATGGGTATGTTGTAACATCTAGAGTAATCAAATTGTTTCGGGAACTGCTGTCAGTTAGCAAATTCTTTGATTATTTAGCATTCTACATAGAGATATAGAAATTTAAGAATAATATAGAAATAATATCCGTGGAAATAAACGTTGCAAAAAATTCATTTAACGAATTTAAAGACTATATGAAAGGCGTTTACTTCATCATCATTTGTAACTTATTCTTCAACGGAAACACTAGCATTAGTTTAAAAACGGTTAAAAGCTACTAAACTTAGCCAATTTTTTTCAAATTTATTTGCTAGAGAAACGTGTTCTTTTAAATTCCCTTACTTTTGGGCTGGGAAGAGATTTTTATTTTATATTACTTGTAAACATTCTAACATCACTCATCATTTCTGATTTGGCTAACTCTACTAACAAACTACCTTTACTACCTTTTTACGTAGAGCCACCGAAGGATGAAGGAGTTTCTCTGCATCATCAGGTCTTATAAATATTTGTTTGCAAATTTTTGAAAAATTTTATTACTTCAAGATAATAACCCAAAAGTCATATATGAATCATTGGTTCTCATTCAAATGAGTTTTTTATAATTATTTTTCGGATTATCCAGATTATAAGATTATTTTCTTCAATTACAAGAGTTGCTTGCAAAGATAGCTTAAACAAGGCTAATCGTTATTAATGGACAATTGAATACAAAAAAATTTTGATGAGATGAAAAAAAACTAACAAATGTTCTTTCTACACGGGTTTTTCAGCCTTTTCACTGCAGTCAGTTTATAAGTGGATGATTACAATGATTCCAATTGACAGATGACATAAGAAATTGGTACAGTTGTTAGTCACAAAATTTTTCAACGAGGCTTAGGGAGAAATGGGCCGGAAAAAGAGCAGAAGAACACCCAGAAACGCCAATCAATCGAAATTTATAGGAATATTTAGATTATCACTCCTAATGACAAATAGCACATTAAGTGAATAATCTGAAAATGGAAAAATTTTTGAACGCACTTACCTACTTTTCAAGCGACCCAAATAATTTTTTGAAATCATTTCAACAAAAAATCATGAATAGCCTTTGGGAAAACGATTTTTGAACATTGAAATATTTATTATATATCCTTAATTCTTCTTGCCATGGTTTTGCAATTCACTAGATCGACGGTTATCCATGCTTCGCTTGATTTTTTGCTGATAGAATCGATCGGTTTTGCAACCTATGTATATTCCAGAATCTATAAATTTTTGTTTATCTTTTAATTGGAGATCAGATAACATTTCTAGCCAACTATTTCATAGCTCTTTTTTAATTTAAATTTTAGATGAATTAATTGGGCGCTCAAATTCTGATTCTCTGATTCTCACTCAATGATTCTTGAGGTCTTGAACGATTTTTTTTTCAACCAACTAGTTAAGGGTCAGTAAAGCCGTGGCTCAGATTATCGTGTTGAGAGGCAAGGGTTCGGCTCCTGCCCTCGGCGGAGGTAAACCTTTCTTTTAAATATTCGGTGATGCTGACGATCCAACTGTATTTCTATCGTCAAGAGACTCCTGATAAAATTTTCTGATTGTGCTAACATCAAGATGAGCGAGTCTAACCAGAAATAGTGAGCACTCACCGCTTATTTAAATTGTAATCAGTTTTCCTCTCCTAAATTTTATTATTTACCTATTTCAAATGTTGCCAATCAATCTGAAGGAAATATGCTGAAATTCTATAGAAATTTACAAAATTCAATTTGGTTTGGAGTATGGAGAAATTCCTTCCTTATTTTGGTTTTTCTAGTCACCAACGAAACATTAAAGAAATATATTTGGGCTCCTTTTGTAAAACAATAACGGTGAATCACTAATTTTTGCGTCGGCAATTGAAAGCTAAAATTTTGATATCGGGCATATAAGTTCATTTCCGCTAACTCATCAACTCATTTACTACTTCGATATCAGTAATGAAAGCCTCTTTTAGGAGGAAGAAGAGCCACTAGAAGTATTGCCAGTTGAGCGATGCTATTTGAATAAGGAAAAATTAACAGCTGAAATTCTGATTGATATGGCCAGTGAAAAACGAAATCTTTCAAGGATATTAAAGCAATATAATACTCAGTTACGAACTTATTGTAGTCCCGAGCATGAAGCACGAGATGAATCTTTCAGGTTTGCAGTTTTCGATTTCTTTTTGAGTCAACTAAAATTTTACCACATTGCTTTATATCTAATTATAATTTAAAAATGCCAGAAAAATCATTTTGAATTCGTAAAACTACTAAAAATATAAAAAAATGCGCACACTGTTGATAACACAGAACCGTCGTCGAATAATGGTTTCACTCCTGCCCCTTTTTGAGACTGAGACGCTCATAGTTGAAAGTGAACTCTGAAGGAGAGGCTGTCCTTGGTAGGAGTGAATCCTGTCAAGATGTAAAATACATCATTATATATATGTTCAAGAAGTTTAGATTATGCAAAAATGCTATCAAATATAGTCTTAATTAGCTGAAAGAGAATGAGGACTACAGAGCAAGGCCAAATTAGGGCTTTCATGGTACTGACATGAGACTGTTTGGTGTTTTCCTTGTATTTAATAGAATCTTTATCTAGCAGTAACCCTTCTTCCATTGATCTTATCACTGCATGATGTTTTAAATTCAAGTCTCTGTTTTTATGCCGTGCTTAGATTTTGTTTAAACAAAATTACTGATCATCAGATTCATCACAACTAAATAATCATCGACAGAAAATCCAACCTCAATATTTTATAAATGTTTTTCAGTTTCAGGAATTGTCCGCTATGGCGTGAAGAGAAAATGATCCATTATTATAAACTTATGAGATTACTCTACTGTTCTGATTATAATTTATGGCCAAATGCGCCAAAAATCAAGCGATCATTTGGAGCAAATTTACAGCTATTTGAGAAACTCTATGCTTTTCTACCTAAGCAATAACAACTGAATCAATCATTTCATTTGGGCCTAATAACTGAACACATACTAAAATTTCCTCTCCCTAGCGACCAAGTTAGACATATTGATTAAGAGTAATGAAACAGCTCATTCCATTCCTATCAAAAATGAAAAAAAAGGAATTAGGGAGAGCATTTCAAGATTTGAACTTAGCGATATAGAAAGATCATAATACAAAATTTGGTTATAAATTACACTTGAGCTGTTTCAAGGCCAGTGTCGATGTCTATAAATATTAAATGGATAGCCATCAGTCTATTTGCTTTTAATATATAATATATATATTCTAACCTTGAAAAGTATGGAAGAGAATAACTGATAATAGGTTAAATCACCTAATTTAAACTAGATTATGGTACCAATCGCACTACTATTTGCTAAACTGAATTAGATATTTCTATGGATCTGTGCTGAAATTCAATAAAAAAGAATTTATCGGCACACACTAAAGTATCCAAAATCATAAATCTATTTAATTTTTAAACAAATTTTTTTTATCTCTTTGGTTTTCCTCATTTGGGAAAAAATTCCCTAGCCAACGATTCATCATAAGACGAATATAAAAGGATGGATATCGAAACTTGCTCTTTTTTTTTATTCATTGCAACCCCTGCTAATATATTTTATCAAATGTACGAAATGTTACTATACAGAAAATACACTTGTAAGGCAAACTTAATTTCGCCGACAGAATTTCTGCAAAATTGAACACGAAATTCAATTATCTCCTCATAATGGGTAATTTCCATGCTTCCCTAAGATTTTGTCATCTGAGTAGTTGTGAAGTTGCTGTTTCATTTATCCCATTTATTTTAAAAGCTATTATTATCTTTTCCTTTTCAAAATACTATCATTTCACTTCTTTTCTCGATTTCTTTGTTCTTTAATAAAGCACATTAGATGAACACCGAAAGAATAGGCGAAGGTTTGCCGGGCGCCACTGCGATTTGTTTGGTCTCATATCACATATTTCAACCTTAACTTTTTTTTCATCTTTAATTCGTTTTTTTTCAGCTTAACTGTATTTGTATATAGAACTATAGAGTATTACTAATATTTCATAAGTGCTTATCCTAATATTATTCGACTTAATACAGATACCAATTTTTAAATCGTATTTATATTTATGATTTGTGCATTTGTGAAGATAAATTGTTAAACGCATAATCAGAGAATTTGGAGAAAAGTACTGCCAACATGAATATAACTTATGAAAATGTGCTAAATCAAAACCATTTTTCCATATTTATTTACCACAATTTAAAAGCTTCAAATCTTTATAGCAATATTCTGGTTAAATAGAAACAAAAATTGCAACTAATGAGTGGAATCGACTAAAAACTAAATAGAGCAACTACATTAATTAACAAGACAAATTATCCCATAAAAAAAAGAACTAACGAAAATAATTTTTCATAAGTTTAACCATCTATTTCGTTAAAACTTAAGCTGAAAGACAATTTTTATTTAAAAAATCAAAATATGGAAATGAAAAGCTAAAAAACATTAGAAAGTTGGGTACGACTTTTAGAATCTAAAATAATGTCAACAATAAAAAATACTAAATTTTACCAAAGCTGACGAATTTTTCAATAACATTGAATAAACGACAAAATATATCTGTTGATATGAACATGATAGAAATTCCGAAAAATGCGCCTTAAACGAATAAAAAGTAAAAAAACGAAAAGAAACATAAAACCTTTTCAACCGGCTTCCCAAGAAGATAAGCTAAAAAGATAAAAAAACTTTTTTGAAAAAATTAAAATTAAAGTGCTTCTAGAAACAATGAAGTCCAGAATATTACTAAACAATACAAAAGCATTCATATTTTCAAGCGACTCTCTCGAACTGAATATATTCTGATGATAAGAGTGAAGTAGATGATAAGATGCATCGAGAGCCCAAGAAGTTTCAATGCCTTTTAAGCGTTTTACAAGCTGAAAAATTTTAATAGTTAAAAATGCAAGAATTAAATAATCTAGAGTACATAAACGTAGAAAAAAGTAGAAATAAATTCCTTTGAGTTAATAATGAACTCAACCGACTCTCATCCTGTATTTTATCCTGTACTAGCATCGTAGAAAGAAAATCCTACCTACCCATAAGCAGACAATCAATGACCGCTTTATTGAAGTTTTAAAAAGTCTTCTAAAAATACTTGAAATTTAAATTTACATGTATCTCCTTTTTGTCATCCAATCCATATCCATACTTAAGAAGGCCGTAAATGTATGTTAAATCAAAACATTCCCAAGGCCTCCAGTAACTGCGGGCGATTTCACGAGTAGTTCGCGAACAAGCTAAAAAACAAGAGAGATTAAAAAAATATCATCGAAGAAAAAAACGAATGAATTACAACAACAGTATAAAAATTGATCGACCAACCTTCGACCGCAGCCTTCTTAAAACCATCAACTGAAGAAATACCACCACTACCATTTATAGATTCCACAGCGAGCTTTGCTTCCATTCCACGATCATAAAAATATCCTGTTACGTATATCTTATGTTTATTAAGTTCATATGCTTTCTTGACTTCAGTAAAACTGATATACTCCATAACTGATAATAAGCAGTTTTTGAAGGAATATGATGATGATCCTCTATAAAATGATCAAATACATCATCGAAAGAACATGACACAGATTTAACAAGTTTCTTCAGACAAATTAATTTAACCTCTATTTAGAAAATTAGACTTTTCTTATTTCCATTTACTAATCATTACTTCAAATTTATCGAATCCACATTTAATGAACCCAAAATAGTAATACAAAGGACACAAGAATGAGGCTGCTAGAACATACTTTATGGACCAGTGTAAACCAGTATAATCTCGATCTTTAACTAATAACTTTTCTGGAAGGCAAGAAGTGACCAATAAATTTTTCGTCGACAATGGTGAACGCTGAATCGTCCCCAAACGTGATGCTACTAAGCCGTTGCCCAGATAACTGTAAAAAATAATGCGACTTATTAATGAATAAAGAATATTGTTATTTTATATTTAATTTTCGACAGTCGACAACTTCAGGTACCTTCCAAAGCTAAAATTCGAAACATTATTAGGAATGATTCTGTAGGAAACATAAGAACCAACACCAATAAATAGCCAAATTATAATGGCACGTATGAAAACTTGGCAGAATCTTACCTGTGTGTATAAAGATTGAGTAAATTTCCAAAAATATCTAATTTGTGCGAAAACAACTCCCGATCAACATTCACAAATGTTTCATATAAATCAGTTGGAAGGAAAGTTATCTGTGTAGAGCCGCCACCGAGATCTAACGTGGCAGCCGAAAACTGATTTTTCCCCGTCATAGAAGACTTATATACCGAATTTTCACAATCGTCTATAATTTTAAGCAACACAGCATTATGTAATATACAGAGTAAACTAATATAATTGACATATAACTAATATAATTTTTTCAAGAAATCTTGAAAAAAAATCCCCCCGACTTAATAAAATTTATTTGACCTAATTTCCACTTATCTTTACTTTTTACAAACATTTATCACAGTTTTATATGAATAAGGCAAATGCGCTAAAAATCAAAATATGTAAATTAATATGTCAATATATTCAACGGAAATTTAAACAATTTCATAATTTTTTAATGGAACGTCTTCATTATAAGACGACAGAATCATAATTTTAATTTAAAAAATAGAACCTTCCGATGTTTCTTTAAAATTTCCCATTTGACCGGAGAGCATATTTATGGTAAACCAGGAGAATATTCCTTCATCAGTTCCACTTATTATTCCTATAGAATCATCACCATAAAAGAAACCACTACCCACTATAAACGTTTTTACCTAAAAATATGGCTTCGAATCTACAAATTCTTTAAATAAACAAACAAAGAACAAAATTTCAAGAAACAGCGAAAAATCCGGTGAAAAAATTTTTTCAAAATTAATCGCCTATCATTTCGCCTATCGCCTATCACAATCTATCATTTTTCTGAAAAAAAAAATGGAAAGGTTGCAAACAAAATACGTCATTTGTATCGCAAACACAAACTTGATTGAGCAAAGCATTTGCCTGATGATCCTGCAACAATCTTAAACCAGCAGTAGCTTTTAAAGTAATTGGAGTATACTTCCAAAGATTTTGAGGGATAGTATTCCTAGCCAAATTGAGCAAAATTTTTATACCATCTATAGCATCCTCCGGCTTCGCTGCATAACTTGACAGTCCAGGCTTAATCTAAATTCATTTCATGATTGCAAAATTTGTCATATCAAGTCTCTGAAAAGTCTCATCATTTTCCGAAAAACCCAGTTCTACTGAAGTTTTCAAACAGAAAAAATGAAAAAATAATAGTCAAAAATTTTTACTATATGTAATATTTTATATTTTATTAAATATATATTATATTTTAATAAATATAAAATATTAAAAATATTTGAGACTTATAAAAATTATTTATTTGCAATGGAGAAAAATTGTACGAATTAAAAAAGAAATATTAAATACAACATATATATTAAATAATATATTTATATTTAATATAAATATTATTAACATATTTTATATAAATATTATTATATAAATATAAATATTATTATATAAATATAAATATTATTATATAAATATTATATTTTATATAAATATTTATATATAAATATTATTATATTTAATATATTTAATATAAATAATATATTTATATTTAATGCAATATATTAAATAAAACATAATTCATCTCAAAAAATAAGCTGTTAATTAAGAAAAGAAACAAAATTTTGTTTGAACCCTAAGCGATTTCAAAAAAATCATTAAACTAAAAAATTATGAAAAATTATAAAAGCAAGATTCAGATCCAGATTAAGAATGATGAATTATAACTTCTACCTCTTTCATCGTTCCATTTTTTATGTAAAAATGTGATGCATTTTCGCTGATACCATGACTAAATTCAAAAATATGGATGCGCGTTCCCGTTGATCCAGCATCAATAACTACAGCAAAAAAACGAGATCCATCTTTCTGGAAAATTAAAGGCTCAATAAACCTTCGATTATATCATAGGAAACCTATCAGAAATGACATCTATAACAATTTCAAAGCTAACCAAGAGCTCGAAACCTTCTGAAAGATATAAAACTTATTAAATCAGTTTTATTAAAGCAATCAAGAAATTGCTCTGCATCGTTTGCTAATATATAAATATATAATGTATAAATTGATAAATAGGTATTTATAATAGGTATATGAATAAGGCCTATCGACAAGATTTGGAGAATGCCTCACATCTACTCTCAAGCAAATACATGTGCAAATAACATTAAATATGACATTAAATATACCTCCATTGCAAGACGTGAAGAAAGACATGGTTTAATCTCTACAGTAGCATCTGAACGAATCCTTTCATTGGATATTTCCCGATTTGTATTTGTTAGAAATTCATCGCATAAACTGATTAATAATTCGATAAAAACAGCAAATAATAAAGTGACTGAAGGGTACAATAACAGACAAAGTATCAGTTGCATTAATATATTTGAAATATTTTAAAATTTATTTTAAACATAAATGGAATACTGTATTAAAACAGAGAAATCACCTAAATGAAGACCCTTTTACCCAAATCTGAAATTTATAAAAAAACATTTTGAAAACTGAGATTCTTGACCGGAATATAAGGATAGGATAGCTAAATGATATGTTGCTACTTCTTTTTCTATATTTTGAAGAAAGAAAACCGTCACCAGAAGAGAAATTCGGATCAATGTGATGGCCCACTGGTTCTTCCATCCCAAAATGACCCTCCGGTGAATGAATCTCTTACTAATAGCTGACCGAACCAGCCAAATTAGAGATGTTTGCTGAGTGATTTCATGATAAGATCAGAAAATGAAAATGCCTTCTAAAAGTGCATATTTCTAGAGTTAATCAATCACCGTTATCGATATATTAATAAGGAATAAACCACGTCAACACGACAACTGAAATTTTACGGCCATCTGAAACATATTCGCTCAAAACTGCAAACTCAAAAGTTACAGGCAATATGATAGATTTATCTAACATCATCAAATACGCTAAATGATAACAGTTTTATTCGTTCAAATGTTTATCGCATACACTGGAAAATATGATATTAGTATTTATCAGTCTACGGAGATTTTTCTCAGAAATTAATCCACGTAATTAAATTAATCCACGTTTTCATAAGATTCTCAAATGAATGCGGGTTCGGTTGAATTTGCTCTCTATCAGTGGGAGGAAACTTATCACTGAGGGTGAAATGCAACTAGTGTTGAGGATCAATGCTCCACCTCACACCTAGCATTCTCAAGGGACTGAATCAGTAGCTTTCAAGCACTCTTACAGGAGACACAAAAGGAAGTGGTACCTCGAAAAAAGGTTAATAACCACCCACTTACTTGAATGTAACACGACGGAAATGAAGAAACAGATCTGAATGAAAAGACGTTTAAAAGAGAAATAAACGACCAATCGCCACAATGAAAATTTATAAATGAGAGAAATTTCGGCCCACGGCCTTTGATCATTCCAAAACACGGTATGTTTGAATTGTTCCATGATTTTTTGGCCAAAAGTCGTCATCCACTGATGACTGAAGTTATCGCCGATTCATAATTTTTAATGGAGCTATTCTTTGAATTCGTTGGAAATAAAACTAGAATCGAATTTCTTTGTTAAAATTAACGCAGTCGATTTTCAGCTTATGCTCACTTGTCCATATAGATATGCATAAAACCTCTCCATGCGCTTAACCGGCTCTTCACGTGGTTTTTCACGTCATCGGCCCAGCTGCCCGGTTTTTTGCCGGCGATTACGACAAGTGGCTATATCTTCTTTTCTAGCAGCGCGCCATTAGCTGTTCGACTGCTCTGCAGGGTACGGCGATGAAGAGAGAAGCCTGTCGATGCCATACATGAAGGTAACAATTGATCGTATGCCATTAATTAATTCGAATCAATTTCTAACTAGCTTATTTTTGCCTAAATTTTTCGAGAAATAATTCTTATCTTTCCTTGAATTGATTTCGGTAGAAACTCGACAAATTAGCCTTCATTCTTATAATTTATTGTTTCATATAATCGTATTCATTTTAATTCGTCTGAATGAGCATTTATCTGTCTCGGATCATTATTGATGGAAATCTCAGCTTCAGATTTCACTAAAGACTAATTGTAAAATAATCTTTTAAAATCCGAATTTCCAGAACATCCAAAACTGTAGCATTTGGCAAAACACACCAAGCAGGGCACGCAGTCATGAGCTTGGATAATGGCATCAAAAAACAATACTGAAACAATAGAAGATGAAAAAAGATATGAAAATTTTTTACTAATATTAACATCACCCCGCCAGAATTCTTCGTTATGCATATACAATACTTCTTAAATTGCTTTAAAAAATGCACAATCTCTAAATTTTTAGGGTAAAAATCCAATCTCTAAATAGTACAAATTGGAATCGGTTGGAATCCTTATCAGCAGTTTTTAGCTAATTCCATTATTTACTAGTGTTCCGATAACAACGTGACGAGGTTTATACAAATTAAAGAAAAAACTAACATTATTAGAAAACAATGTAATGTGATTCAGTGGTTTTACAACACGCTAATCAAACCATTTTGAATAAATGGAAACTTTATACATGAATTCACGAAACTAACCATTTGAAACTAACCAATGGAAACTAACCACACACTGATAATACTTCATTAGCGCTGATGCTGGAATTCCATTCCCAGCAGGAGTAAACCAGTCCAAAATCCGGGTGATGCTAGCGACTCACTTGCACTTTTATCGCCAAGGGACTCCCTGTCTAACCAGAAATATTTCTTTAAAAAAAAATTTGATTAACGTGAACAAATAACAGATCAATCTTAGTGAATAGGATTGATGAGGATTTGAATGAAAATAAATAAAAATCCTATTTTTCCACAGTGCCATAAAGATAATTTGTTAATTCCTTAGATTTAGCAAGACAAAGGATTTGTAACAAAGTTTTTTGCATAATCCTAATGCAGTTATAAATCCTGCATAAAGCGATTCAGATTTTTTAAGATTTTCTAAGATATTCAAATTTCTTAAAACTTATGAGATATTTAGAATTGGGATTACTTGCAAATTTTTATTCGTCTTTATTAACTTCGAGCACAATAAATACTGCAAGTTCAATTATGAAAATCTGAATGCTATATGAACTAATGGATTCTCATTCCTTAAAAAAGAGTTAAATTAATATATTGGAATAAGGGGCAAAAAATAGACCAAGGCATAAAAATAAATTATCTATAACTGTTATGCAGTAGGAGCTACGAGATAGAATGAAGTGAAAATTTTTAAAGACTTTTTGGTCAAAAAAGATTAATTTGTTTTCTATCTTTATCGGGCAATTATCGTTCCCTTATTTTTGCTATTGAAAATATTATGAAGGCAATATAACCCGTTTGGCGTTTGCTTAAACATAAGCACAAGCACATAACATCGCATGCCATACTTAATTTCTGAACGAATCACATGGATGAACAAGTTTTCAAGTTTTTATCTAATTTATCATATTTTTTTCCTAGATCGCCCTCTTGAACGTATGGCTGTATTCTGTTCTCGGATTTCTCCAATGAAAATTAAAAATTATAAAAATTATCTGAATTTGAACCTCGATAGAGATAAACAATAATTACTTTTTTGAACAAAGATTTTGACAAAAATTTTCGTTGAAAGCACTCTAGAAAGAAGGTCATATGATGAATCATTGGACGTATTCTGTAGAAGTGGAATGAACAAAAACGAATTCAGTCCAACCAGATGTCAAATAAAAAAGGATTTCGAAGCCGCTCTCAGTTTTCAGTTCATTCTTGGCATAATGGCAATTATTGAAGGATCATTTCCCGTGCCTTATTTCTAATTATTTCTACATGTTTGATAATCTTTCACTCTCAAGATAATGTAGGAGTCACAGCAATAATTGTTTTCCAGTCGAGAAATGTGCTATATTTCAAGTTTATGTAAATGATTTGTTTACCTGACCTCACCATCAGGAATTTTGAATGAATTGAATCATTATGAAAATTTAATACTATTTGGAATCATTCATTTTAAAGGAAAATATCTGCTGAAATTCAACATTTTAATCGAAATATATTTTTCTTTTAAAGAGTCTTCACCATTATTGGTTAAACTCGCTCTGCTGGCATGCGGCACTGGACAAATATGCCGTGGATTCCCTTAGCGATAGAAATATAGATGAGTCACCATCATTACCCGGATTATTTTTGGACAGCTTTACCCTTGCGGGGAACAGAACCTTATTATCGGCGCTCCTAATTGGGCAACAATTCACCAAGCCATCCTATACTCGATAGCACCATTGTATTTGTTAAAGTAGTACAAACACATTTATTTACTTGCATTACTTGCATAAAAATCCGGATCTTGGTAATTAACATATTGTTAGAAAGTGTTTTAAAAGTTATCCTATTTTCGGAATTTTCTTTGCCAGGAAACTGTAATGGTAAAAAGATAAATTTTATGGCAAAACCTTTAGAAAAAGAAAGAGTTGCTTTCATTATAGCACTACCTAAGAGAGGCCAAGTATAGTGCCAATTATTATTACAAATAGTCGAACTGTCCAACTGATTAAGACGCCATAAACTGAATGATTGTATGGAATTTATTTCAACGAAATATTAAAGGAACTTATTCATAATAAACTGAAAGCACTTTTTTGATTATCAGTCTATTTTTTTTTGAGCTTCAGCTAACGATTTTGTTTAATGAAAATTTTTTGTTTTTATTAAATAAAAATAACTAAAAAATTAAATAAATAAAAAACTTAATATAAAACTTTCTTTAAGTTTTATAAAGTTTTAAAAACAATTTCATTCAGTAAAGTTCAGGATGGCTAACTTGTTTCGATTTGATTCAAATTCCTTGCTATCTGAGGAGCAAACTCTGTCATGAAATTTGGATAATGGTTGGAATCTATACGCAAATTCTCCCCGAAGGACTTTGCCCTAGAAATCAGGAGCAAGCGAAGACAGAAATGGCGAGATAAATGAGAATTATGTTTAAATACATACTGTGAAGAAAACTTTTCCATTGTGTTTAGCCTCATTATTCGAATCATTCGAATCATACAATTAAAATATTTTGGCTGAATATCATGATTACACTCCATCACTCCATCACTCATTTGTCTTATTCAGCACTGAAAGGGTTAAGGCTAATATCACAGATTTTTCGCCATATCACTTGAGATGCCACTTCTTAGCAATAATGCAAAAGGAATGGTGATAATTGCCAATTGAAGCACATTCACAAACGAAACATAAAGTCCAACTAGGCTAAAGTTTTAGTAAAAATGATTTAGACATTATTTTTTATTTTTTATTTTATCAGAAAAATTAAAAATTAATAGAACCAGAATATTCCAGCTCTACTGCCTAAAACTACTCTAAAACTTATCCTAAAACTTATAGCGATTCACCTGTACTTCTGTCGCTGAATGATTA